CCCCAAAACCCCAAAACCCCATAGTGAACAAATTTACTTAATATTGTCGTTAGTAATAATTTATGAAGATTTCAATAGATTATAATAGCCACGTAATAAATAAATATTACGAGTAATTAATATTAAATGCAAACTTTAACATTTCAAATGAAATTAACACAAAAATCAAGTCAATAATTCAAAAACCTTATAAATAGATTCAATACTTCTCTGAGCCAATAACTCAAAGAAAATTATAGCAATGAGTTCTATAGTTTAGCAGGATCAAGAAAATATTCCCCAAATTTGAAAAAATCTATGTTTAAAGAGTTTGAGCATGAAAACAATAATTAAAGTGCTGATTGGAAAAATTGCAAGAAAGATGATAAAGCAAGTGAATAAATTGAAAATTATGAATAGGACTTCTAGCCTTAACTTAGATTCCATAATCATGAGAAAACAAATCTCTAATCATTCCATTAAAATCTACAAAGAAAATTTTAAGATCAAACCATGCGATAACTTAGTTTCCCAATTAGGAACCATAATTTTGAACACATGAGTCCCTATCTGAGATATTACCTTAATAATCACGGAGATTCATTCTAAGAATATAGAGACTACTTTAGTTTAAGAACAAGGTAATTTGAGAAATAAGTGATCCATTGGTTCTCTTAATTGTACAGATCTCCGAATTCAGAGAATGTGTGGGGTTATATGCCTTCTGGCTCAACAGAAAGTATTATAAAAGCTTTCTATTAGGCTAGAGAATATTTTAAAGACCGTAAAGGTATGGCTGTTTTCTTCTCATAATAGGCTCACTCATCTGTAAATAAAAGCATTGTCTACTTGAAAATGAATTCATTCAGTTAATTAGCTAAAACTAAGGGATTTTTAATACCAAAAGAGCTTGAAGAAAGAGGAATATTTGAATGGCCTGAGCGAGTTCCTACTCAATAAAATGGGGAGATAGATTATGAATTACTCAAATATTTACTAAAACCATTTGCAGAATAAGAAATTCCGATTGCAATATCTCTTACTATTGGAGCAACAATAGCTTCTAATTTCGATAATACTTAAAAGGTTATTGATGTTCTGAATTCCTACGAGTTTAATCTAAGCCATTAAGATATTTAGGTTGTCCTAAGGCATCAGCTCTTTTTCTCTAATTAATAAAATTGATGAGGGAAAAGGTGAAGAAATCCATTCATAAATACTGGTAGTAATACTCTTGACCTCTTCAAATGAAAAAATAATATGGAATAAATCTGAAAATAAGCAGAGGAAAACTCGGTCTAAATATAAGATTTAAAAAACCGTCAGATGATATATGCTTCAAGTATGGTCTATTCGTAATTGGAGATGAAGCTGTTGTAATTATAATGTCAGATAAGTCAAAACTTCTCTGTGATATCTTTATTTAGGATCTAAAAAATGATATAATGCATTAAAAATGAATTAAAATGTTTTGAGATTACCATTATTTCATTTATTACCCAAAAAACTACCTTCATGGGGTTTTGGGGTTTTGGGGTTTTGGGG